GTCGATTTCAAGTTAGGGCATGAAGAGCCCCTGGGGACATTGTCTTACAAGACTAGTTCCAAACGGTCGCAGTCGTTCTGCCATCTGATTGGTGCCAGAAAATCTTTGTGTTTTTCTGCCCAATCAGAGTGAAGTGTGCTTTAGAGTCCTTTCGTGTGTTTTAACACGGACATATACTAGTAGCTCAGTTGCTCGCTATGTTTGTTTGGACCGTGCGACGGAGATTTGCTTGAGGTGAAAAGTTTCAGTCTCAGCACACAATGTAAGAGAAATCGATCAGATTGTCCGCGAAAATCTTACCGGAAATTATACTGAATACTTTCGCAGGTATCACTAGAGAACGTGTTTTAAAGTTTGCGAGGTTTGTATACAACACGATGGTTGCAGTCATTGATATGTCGCTTTAGACGTTAAACGAGATTTAAGCTTAAATCTATCTAGATTTTTTGCATAACTTGCTGTGACTGAAACTTTGCCAATCCCGTGAAGTTATTTCGTCGCACGGGCCACGCAGGTATGTCGAGCAACTGGCGCATTTGCCTACGTTGCTTTCTGCTTTCTGTGCGCGCCAAAGTCTAATCTTCGCTTTGTAGGAAAGTCGTTCACAATACGGCTTAAGTTCGTGGACGACCTCCAGCAAGCGCTTAGAGAAAGCTTAGCTGTGTTTCCGGTTAACTAATTAAAATCTGAATAAAAACTTATTAACGAGAACATCGTGGAAAGGAGAGATATTTTCGGGCAGTTACCGAAGGGGTTTGGAAAGAGTTTAATCTTTCAACTGCTGCCTAGAGTGTTGAAATTCTTGAGCTAGGAAGGCCACGGATTCTCTTCTAGTCCCTTGGTCATTGTCATTTCACCTCTTCCGTCGATTGTTGAAGACCAAGTTAAATACCTTTGATCATTGGGAATCGATCCGATGCTTCTTTCAATGGGAAAAACAAAACCAAAGACCAAGAAAGATTGGATGGAAAGGGCGGGTTTGCTTTATTGCAAATGTCAGCTTAATGGTACAGGGTCATCTACCCACATCTAATAAGCAAAAGTTTCCACGCTTTGCTTTTCTTTTTTCAAGCGAAGATGAAATTAGATTTTGGCACGCACAGAAAGTTGCGCAAGTACCAGTTGCTCGACATACCTGCGTGGCCCGTGCGACGAAATAACTTCACAGGATTGGCAAAGTTTCAGTCACAGCAAATTATGCAAAAAATCTAGGAAGATCTGAGCTTTTATCTCGTTTAACGTTTAAAGCGACATACAAATGACTGCAACCATCGTGTCGTATACAAACCTCGAAAACTTTAAAACACGTTCTCTAGTGATACCTGCGAAAGTATTCAGTATAATTTCCGGTAAGATTTTCGCAGACAATCTGATCGATTTCTCTTACATTGTGTAAAAAAAAGACCCCTTTTTTCAAGGACCTGTCACATCCACAGTTTTTAATCAAACCATATAAAACCATATATCACTGAAAAGCTAATGAATCACAGATTTCAGTTTTTTCAATTATTTCTGCACACAGTTTATTTGTAACCTGATACCAGTAAAATATTGTTACCCCATACTGTGCACAACCCACATGTACTCTAGAAAAGAAATCTTGATATGGAATGCAGCTAGCTCTGATTTGTTTTTATAACTATATAGTATATAGGCTAATCATGGGGATGAGCATAGAGTTTTAAAAAATATAAAAAACTTTGGTTCCAGCCTCCAGTTAAAGTAAAGCAAAATTTTTGGGGTGAATTTCCACCACAATTTTCTTTGTAACTTTTGACAAAGTAAAGCTACAGAAAAACCCTTTGCTCATCCCCAGATACTCTTTGAAAGCAATAAACATTGAAAATTTCAAGTCAATTGGTTAAATCCTCTATGAGATATGTTTTCTAGAATGCGCAAAATGCACATTTTGAGAAAAGTGCGATTAAAGTTTAAAAGCTAAAACGAAGATTGACTGCACAAATTTGCATGGCTATCAACTATCGAATATCATAGCAAATGTTTCTTTCAGTCACTTAGAAGCCTCCAGGTTCATAGGTATCACCATCAGCCTCCCGTAGGGCATCTTCTCTGCGTGTGCGCCTCATTTGCTCTCCTTGCCGGCGCTTCTTTTCTTTAGCAGAGGTCTGAAGGTCCGATTTTCTCAATCGCCTCTTGTCCTTTTCTTCTGAGGCCTTCTGAGTGTACTCCCCTGCTGGAATTGCCAGTCTCTGCATTATTCTTGCTCTGCTGGCAGCTCCACTATGAAAATGGCACACAGTAGAAGCAACTGCACATCTAATGACCTTGGCACCATGATGCTTGTGTTTTGGGCAGCGTGCCCACACCAGTCCGTTGATGCATTCATTGCGATTTTGGGTGGCGCCACGCACACACCTTTGGAGCAGCTTAGTTTCACTAAGTGTGATGAATGTTGGCTTCAGCAGTTCAAAGAACACTTCAGGCAAACAGTCACCTGCTTCATAAGTATTTGTTCCAGTAGCACAATCTTGTTGCCATTTACACCAGGAATCCTCACCAACAGGGCAGAAGCGATGTTGTTTAGCAGCATCTTGTGACTGGACACTGTGATGGAGGATGGCAATGATATTTTTCTTCATGGTGTAAACAGCAACATCAACCTCTCTTTCTGTTAGGTTTGCTTTAGTTAGGGTGTTTTGTCTAATGGCTAGACCATAGTACTTCTGAAGGCGTTTAATGCGGCTCTCAGTCAGTCGGCCCCGTCCTCCAATGGGTTTGCCATCTGCAAGTTTACCTTTGGTTCTTGCTTTAAGATTAAGCATTCCACCTCAGTCCTTCTCGACCGAGGTGGTTTTGGTGGATGGAATCTAATGCTGACCTATCATCGACAGGGCTGAATAACGTCTGCGCATGTGCGACATGTCATTACAACAAGATCAAAATTTCGGCGCGAACGTGATGCTTTCCTGTTCAGTTGAATAACGACTGACAAGAAAAGAACAGAAAATCTTCCATTATCTTTGCACCTAAACACAAACATCTCCTTTTCATGCTTTTGAAAATGAAAATTTGAACAATCCGAAGTTTTTCCCCAAAGAACTATGAGAAAACTTGACGTTAACGCGGTAAATATTCTGAGCTTTGGAGACGCCTTTGGATTCAACCGCCACGACGGGTTCTTCGTTTCGATTTACACTCGTTTGCTTCGTTTGAGAAAGAAATGATGTTTGGGAGACATTGTTGGCAACATGAGAGTTTGGAAAAGTGTCGCCAGAGGTGAGTATTACGGTCTTAGTTTGTTTTGTAATCAAAACGGCACCTTTCTTGCGCCAGTCGTAAGTTAATAGGGAGTTTAAGCAAATCACTCCGGCTGGCGCTGCTACGGCTACCGGAAGTAAAATTGTCCAGAAACGAGTCATTGCGCATGTCAATGGTTCCCCATCCAGCCAAAAATCCTTCTACGCGAGTGGGAAGGTTTCGGCGTAGTATGTGGTAGGTGAACTTATGTCGCTTCTTTCTTCGCTTTATACATTCTCCTGAGCAATTTTAACTATTGAAATACACTTAACGTCTTTAAAAATAGCTTATCAGAAATATTTATTAAGCGTGCTGTCGCTTACCGAGTAAATCTGCCTTTATTTTTGCCGCCGGGTTTGTCGAAGGATCGAAGCAGTGTTCACATGGAGAACGTAGCGAACGCAAGGAGAAATGCGTAGGTAGAAAGGCTAACTTTTCCTTTTCAAACCTCAAGACTACTTGAAATTCAAATGGCTGAAGCCGAGGAATGACGAGGGTTCTGAGGGACCGTGTAGAAGCTTTGCTTTGTTGTTTATAAGCTCCAAACTGGCAATTTTACAACACGTAAGCTTAAATATTTTAATTCACTCATTCACTGTGCACAGGATCGCTTACAATTTATTTTTCCAAACGTTAGAATCAATCGTCCCTTTAAACGAAGTCATTTTGAGTTTTTAGACGTGCAAAAACTACCGCGAAGACGCTTAATTTATTAGTTTGAAACTTCTCAGCCGTACTAGGTTTGAAGTTCGCGTTGCTTAAAATTGAATTTTTGCGTGCTACAGCGACGTACTCTCCCCAAGCCTCGTCAACCCCCGATAGCCGTAGCAGCGCCAGCCGTGGTGATTTGCTTAAACTCCCTAATATTTATGTGAATACAACGCTCTGTGGTGTCGTGAAACATGAATGGCCAGCACCTGCATGCACTCGTAAGCTGACTCGCAAAACTTAAAGCTAAAAAAAATGCTACGTGTCGTTGTTGGCTACGTGTACCTATACCCCTGTACAGTACTTTTTTTTACTAAGTTTGCTTACCTTACTCGATCGATAAATTCCATTATTTGAATGAGACACATGTCACTGTTCCTAAATTATGAGGTATGTTGTTAATTGCCTTAAACCATAAAAGCAATTCAATAACTATGTTTTAAATAGTAATGAAGTGGAGGATGATGTGGAGGGTGTGTTTAATCAGAGAATCATTTTATTTTAGATTTACGTGACGATCATACTTGCAGGTGCCCTTTTGTTGCAGTGCCTCCACGGAGTTATTTTCTTTTAATTAGTTAATACATTGCACAAACAAATTACATATGTTTTACTACAGAAATAGTAAGTTTGTGGGAAGTCGTTTACCTGAAGATGTCAATTTCCTTATTTTGTAGTGTTTTGTCAAGTTGACTGGCCATGCTTTGTGAAGCACTCTCCTAAGAAAATTCATACCAAAACATTACCATGTCACTTATTATGACAATTTTTATAATTAGAAATTGATTCTTATAATATTATTTTATGTTCATGTACCTGTCTGCCATCAGATGATTGAGTACTGGTTGGAGAAGATGTAGATGCCTTAGTGTGTCTCTGAAAAGTAAGGAGCAGATACAACAACAACCTTTATTTATTTATTCTAATTTCTAATAACTATTTTAACAAATTGAACATGCCCACAGGTAGCTAGGTAATCTAGGTGGGTCATGTCTTAACTAAGAAAAAAAGTTGGTATACAAGTTTACAGACATCAGGAAATTAATTAGAGAGAATAAGTATACAGGTTTACAGAAATCAGGAAGTTAAATTAAAAGAGTAGGTATAAAAACAAAGATACTACAAAAATAGTACAATTAAGGCTCTACTTGTTATTCTAGAAATACATTAAAAACCTTAAGAAAATTTGACCTTTTGAATGATGTTTCGTATGTCGAGATAGCAGTCTTCAGAAGACAGAATGTTGAAAAGTACTCTTTTAATTTTTCTCTTAAAGTCATTTTTTGGGAGATTCCTTAATGTAAGAGGCATCTCGTTCCAAATTTTTATTCCAATTCTAGAAAACAAGTTCAATTGAATAGAGAGCCTAGAGCTTTGTGTGTAGAAGTTGTGCAAAGCAGAGGATCGGGTATTATATGGGTGAATATAAGAAATGTCTTGAAACAGGTCTCGAATACTTCTAGGCGTGTTTTTGTGTCTAATATCAAACATCAGGTTAGCTGTGAGCTCATAATAAGAAAATTGTAGCAGTAAAATAACAGCATCGGAAAATAGAGGAATTGCATGCTGATTACGGTCAGAAAAATAGATAAAACGTAGTGCTCGTTTTTGCAGCTTTAGAAGCTTATCAAGATATGATCTACATGCCTGGCCCCAAACTATTAGCCCATAGCTCAGATAAAGTCTTCAATAAATCTATCGTGTTAACACGCTGTTTTCACTAAGTGTACAACCTTTAAACATCAGTGTACAAAAGTGTGTGTGCTGGTCAATGAACGAGGGAACTAGCGTGAAGATTTATTTCTACCGTTTTCAGTTTGGCGCTACCTTTTCACCAAAAACCGGGCGCTATACGAAACGTTTTAAAATCGCCGCCATTTTTTCGAAGTTTGTTATGGTGCCCAGGCTATTGGCGCTAACGCGAGCCAAGAGATCTCGCACATGTGCAGACGTTATTAAGTCCTGTTCATATCATCATAAAAAGCTCGCATTATATCTACCCCCCTTCTCTTAGGCGAAGAGAGGAGAAGGTGAGAACCGAAATTTTGGACTTCGGGCAGGGCCTAGCAACAATTTGACGATTCGATGGCCCGGTAAATATTATGTTCAAGTATCAATGTGTTCAAAAAGTATTGTGTAATAGAAGATTTTGCGTCAAATCGAAGTGTTTTCAGAATTTTCAATATAATGCTGCGCAATTTCTGGCCATGAAGGCAAGTAAACAAAGATCTAAGCATGATAAATTTTACTGCGTGGGCTTTGTACACTTAAGAAATTCGTACGTTTTATGCTTATAACAGCAAATCAAAATTCTTTTGAATAAATCAATCCCGAATTATTTCTTGGCCATTTTAGTCTTGCCTCCTATTGATAGATTTCATAGAACTTGAGATGTCCTCACTCACGGACAAATTTGCATATTCCCTTTTGAAATATGATCCAAATGCCCATTTGCACACTTGCGAAACTATTTTGCAGTTTTTATCTTCTTGATTTTTTAATTATTATCATCATCCTTATTTGCCTTATTTTAACAATTAAAAAATAGTTAATTACAGCGATAACAGTTAGAAGGCAAGGAGACCCAAGAAGCCACCAGGCTTATGGGAGAGCCACCTCACTTAGAATAATAAATTAAGTAAAGAAAAAGTGCTGCGAATGTGTGGCTTGGCCAATTCAGTGATCATTTAGGTAAAAACTCTTGCTATTTCGTTTTAAAGCTGAGAAAGTTTGACAAACAAGTGACTGAAATACAGAGACAGTTCCAAATTTTAGGACCTTGGTAGAGAATTGTAAGCTGCTTGACATTTGTACAGCACAAATGTGTTCGATAATTACTGGCTGTTCTGGTACAATAGTTGTGAATTTGGCTATTCCTTACGAAAAGATCGGGAAGCAATGGGGGCAATAAGTTAAATTTGAAATAAAACATAAATTTGGCGCTTTCAAACATATTGACTTGGAAAATATCTAAAATTCCTAGTTTGGAGAATAAAGGGGCAGAGTGGTCTTGATAGTCTGAGTTGGTGATAGCCCGCACAGCTTGCTTTTGCAAATAATAAATTTTATTAAAGTTAGATACGTATGTGGATGACCAGACGGAGTTGCAATAGACGATATAAGGATAAACTAAGGTGTAATACAAAGTGAGTTTGGTTGCAGAGGATAGGGGAAAACAAGACCTAAATAAAATACCTATTGATTTAGAAATTTGTTAAAACGTAATATGCACCTGTGGCTTTTTTCATCGGAAATTAGTTCTTTGATTAGTCTTCTTTCTCTGGAGCTTGTTTTTTGGAAAAGATGATTTTTAAAAATTTACTGTGCAATATGTTTGCTTTCTTGGTTTCTCCCAAATTTTGACTTTTCATAGGCACGTGTTACACGTAAGTGTCAATGGGTTAATTTCATTTCACCGATTAGAGGATTGAGCCCTCTTTAAAGACTTTCGACAACATTTCTACCAAAGGTAACTAGTCAATTTTTCTTTTCATCCATTTTTTATTGTTCACAGAATGACATATCATTTATTATTGTCTCACTGAACTGATATTTCTGTATTCGGCCCTAGCCTAGAGTCGCTCTCACTGTCTGTTCCTTTCACTATCTTACAAGCTTGAATATAGCTACTTTAACCTATCATAGAGCTCTATTTTACTATTTTAACTATTTAATATATGTGCTATCTCCCTTGGTGTATTTAACTTCCACCCATCTGTAACTGCTTTGTGGTAGTAGCCAACTCGAAAGCTTGGCTCCTTTGGCTACTACACACTCTTTCCACTGCTTTGTGTAAATCCATGTATAGTCAGAACTCTATTCTTTTTTTTTTTTTTATTTCTACTTTTTTTCTTTCTCGTTGTTGTATTATTAGTAGAATAAGTGTGAATAAAGAATGATGATGTCGACTGTAGATAATAACAAATAGCACTGTATGTCATTTTTTAGTCGTGAAACCTCACGATACCCATTTGGAAAGTTGTAAAATCTATGTTTAAAACTGAAAGTATATTATTTGAATTAAAGGCCATTTCCAACCTTGATGCAACGCATGCCGCGACCTACTTCCTGTAACACCTAAAACCTCCTGTAATCAGTCAATTTTTTTACTGTATATACATTCACCACTCGTCATTTTACACTTTCCTTGCAGGTTTTTTAATTTATTGTGTATATAATTGGAAATTGTACCTTTCGAGGTGGATAGTTTTGAACAATAATGTTAAATCAGGCCAACTCTTGCGAGATCTGAAACTATAAGCTTTTCCTATTGATGGATTTCTTATTCTGTACTTCAGGTATTGATAAAGTTGGTTGATGAAGTAATACATTATCTTAAAACACAAGGAATGAGTGGGTAAGTTGTACATTCTCACTGATGTTACCTATAACTTGTGTCAGTGCACGATCATGTACCTTATTCATAGTTACTAGTGACTATTTTCTTTTTTATTAGAGGTGAAAGTTAAGTTGCTAAGAAACATGTTGTATCTGTACATGATTGGAATTGAAATTATTATTGCAAGAAAAAATTAAATTAAGCAGGTCTAGCTGTAGGAGTCTTGAGTCTTAAAATACTTAGCCCAAGATTTTTGCGTACAATGAGGAAATGTTCACAATTATTTTTAAAGGAGCACTCTTATGAAACCGCCCTATAATTTGAAAACCTGAAAAATTCAGTTATTTCATTATAATATGAATTTTTAGCAATTAATAAAGCCTTTTCAATAATAATTTTAGTTGAAAGTCAATTCTAGGGCGAGAAATTACGATTTGAAAACTGTTCCGCCATCAGTTTTTGTAATCACAGCCAACTTACCCTCGGTCAGTGGTCACTCCCATTGTGACGTAGATTACTCAAAGCACCTCGTGAAATTTAGTGAAAAAGTCTTAATCTTAGTGTTATAGAAAGCAATATATGCGATCAAAATACTTTTTTCAAAAACTAGCCACGAGCGCGGCACGTCAAATGAGTAATCTATATCACGGTCCCTCCTATTGTGACGTAGATTACTCAAAACACTTTTATATTTATACAGAAACCTCATGAAATTTAGTGAAATAGTCTTAGTCTTGTAAAAAGCAATATAGATGATCGAAATACTGTTTTTGAAAATAAGCCACGAGCACGGCGCTTTAAATGAGTAATCTCCAAACTCATGCCAGTCTTCTTAAGCCTGCGAAGTGATTACGAAAATTAATGGCGGAACAGTTTTCAAATCATAATTTCTTCCCCTAGAATTGACTTTTAACTAAACTTGTTATTGAAAAGGCTTTATTGATTGCTAAAAATTCATATTATAATGAAATAACTGAATTTTTCGGGTTTTCAAATTATAGGGCGGTTTCATAAGAGTGCTCCTTTAAATATGGAAATTTTTGTCTAACAGTAGATGTCCTTTTGCCCCTGTAAAAAAATGCCAAGTTAAAATATGCTTAACACATTGACACCTGAACCGCCCGAACCTTGCGATCGCCTCGCACGAGAATGCTTTCCCCATACCTCCCCTACTAAGTAGAGTTTTGTCCCCAAACTTCCTCTACAGTTTGGAGATCAATACGCCAATCACAATCCGTTGTTTACGCATATATTTTGTCGACTTTAGGGGTGATAGAGGGGCATTATTCTATGCGTCTTCTCTAAATGATCAAATTTGAAAATATGGCGTCCACGCAGCCGACCCTCAAAATTTTCAGGGCGGATTTTTCGTTTATTAGCAATCGAGTTAGACCTTGTGGAATTCAGATTGTAAAGTAACAATGCTGTAGAATACTCTGCATGGAAAAGAATGGATATTCAGGTCTTAAAGGTGACAGAATAAGCTCTCAAGTCAACGACACTACAATTCTCTAAGGCGATGTGAATTGTGGGCCAAAACGAAATCCCAGGTTCACTAGACCCCAGGGACCTCGGGTATAGACGAGCAGCTCTGGGAAATCACAGGCAGCGGAGTGGCATGCATGAGAATGAGCCGCCCTGCACTCTGAGGCACTTGTGCAAACGAAGGGGGCAAAGGACCTGGGGAATAGACGCGCAAATCCGGGAAATCATGGGCGCCGGAGTGGCATGCGTGAGAATGAGCCCCCCTGCACTGTGAGGCACCTGTGTAAACAAGGGGTGGAGGCTTGTTCTCACGCATGCCATGCAGTGGGGCTCATTTGCAGGCATGCCACTCAAGCGCCCCTGATTTCCTGGAGTTGCACGTCTATTCCCCAGGTCCCTTGGGTCTAGTGAACATGGCCACGTAAAGTGAAAACCGAACTTTCGGACTTCAAGCAGGGCTTAGCGACAATTTGAGGATTCGATGGCCCGGTAAATATTATGTTCAAGTAACAATGTGTTCAAAAAGTATAGTTTAATGGAAGATTTTGCCTCAAATCGAAGTTTTTTCAGAATTTTCAACATAACGTTGCACAATTTCTGGCCATGAAGGCAAGTAAACAATGATCTAAGCATGATGAATTTTACCGGGTGGCTTTGTACACGTAAGAAATTCATATGTTTTTTGCTTATAACAGTAAATCAAAAACTGTTTTGAATAAATCGGATGTCCCGAAATATTTCTTGGCCATTTTAGTCTTGCTTCCTATTGATAGATTCTATGGAACTTGAGATCTCTTCACTCAGGGACAAATTTGCATATCCCCTTTTGAAATATGATCCACATGCCCATTTTCACACATGCAAAAATATTTAGTGATTTTTATCTTTCATCTTGATGTTTGACTTAAAACGTAATATTCATCTATCGCTTTTTTCGCCGGAAATAAGTTCTTTAATTAGTCCTCTTTCACTGGAGCTTGTTTTTTGGAAAAGCTGATTTTTAAAAATTTACTTCACATTGTGTTTGCCCTCTTGGTTTCTCCAAAATTTTGACTTTTTGTCAACACTTGTTACACGTAAGTGTCAATGGGTTAATAAGTAAAAGGATTACATGCTTGTCCAACTGTGTAAATAGTCAGATTTGAAAAAGTCCTTTGATGGCTCAATTGGACTTGGCCTATTGCTTTGTCCAATTTGGGCTGTCCTCAGAATTTTTTTACATGTAAATAGTAAGTGGTTAGTCATCCCTAGTTTGTGGTTAATCATCATGGTAAATAACACTTCAAAAGAGAAATGTAATTGTTTGTCCCACAATGGGGTCACTTCAGATGTAGATCATGATTCTTCCACCAGGGTTTGACATCTCCGCTAGCTGAGTAGCCTGAGTCTAGTAAAAATTTGGTCGGGCTGGTATAAAACCATGTTTAATAGCTTGCTGGCTAGTAGATAAACATTTTATTAGTTTACTTGAAAACAAGTTTGAATTGTAATGATAATACCAACAAAGAAGGCACAAACCTTTCATCTTCTTGAGTCTTTTTTTGTCTTGTATGTCAATCGTAAACATCATTAGGTGCCAGACTCTGCACTTAATGGTCAATGTCTTCCCCAGTCTTCTCCCTACCAATGTTGCAATGCCTTGCACATCGCTTCACAAGATCGCCTGGCACAATCGCCTCGCATGATCGCTTCGCACTTGAAAATTTACTTAGCTTTTTCCTTAAATAGCATATTACAGTATGTTATCACAGTGAAAGAAAAAATGCCATTCTTTATCATTTTAAATGACCTTGCCAATAAGTTTAGAGGAAGGTTTGTGTGTTTGGGGTTGAAGTAAACCTCCAGGCAAATCGATCCGGGCTACCAAGTTGTGTTTCAGGCTAGTAAATTTTAGAAATTACCAGCCCAGTGGCTAGTAATGCAGGTAACCAGGTGTCGAACCCGGTTCCACTGCATATAGCTAGTCTTCTTTAGGCAATGAGGTCAATTAAGTACATGGATGAAACCCCATGGCTATGATTGGTGTATCTTTGGATCAGCTGTTGCACAGTTCTCCTGCTGTTGTGTTTTTTGATCATCAACATCCAGGCTTCTGTCTGTTCAGCAACTGTCCCTATTGATATTGTTAGGATGAAGTGGTATGTGAATTGCCTCTTTAATCCTGCTTGTGTAGAATTGGGGATCATGATCCATAGACTTTACTTTGTTCCAGAGCAGGTGTTAATCTTGTGTTGTGGGTATGCTGTGAAGCAGTGGAGGTCTGCATCTTAGGGAGTTCGATGTATTGGGTTGAGTAAGATAAAAAAACACAACAACAGGAGAGCCATGGCAGTGGACCACAGAGGGAACTTGATCTGAAGATGAACTAATCACAGGGGTAGAATTCCATTCAATTTCAGCTTGCACAACAGCATATAGGTGATGTGTACTCAATCTACCTCATCACCTGAAGAAGACAAGCTGTATGTAGTTAAAATGTTCTTATCCACATCCAAAGTGACTGCATTATGAGACAATGATCATTTTTGTCTTTTGAAGTACTGTAACATAATTATTTATTCACATAGATGAACCTTCCAAATGTTACACTTGCACATGTCTTTCATGAAGATCAATTTACACAAATTCATCTGCTAAACGAGCTGGTGGCATGAAACTATAAATAAAATTTGGCACTAAGTTAAATTGATTGTGGTTAAAAAGACTTTTTTGAAATAAAGAACAAAGTTTGTTTGAATTAAAATCATTGTGTAAATTTATTTAACCACAATTTTGTTCACATATTAAATTTTGCTGTAAGTGTTATTGCAGCGTATCAAGCTTTAATCGGCCATACTGTCGCAACTTCCTCACTCACCTACAAAATTTTGTGTGACATTTGTCGAAAATTTAGACAGTACTTCCATTCAGCCTCAAATCTTCAGTCAAACAAAAACTAGAAAGTAAATCAGTTCTTGAAGATATCATTTAACTCTGTGTAGCTCACTTCTGTTCACTATTTTTACCAGAAAAAAGTGAATTTCAGGTTCATCGTTCACGTTTTTCACATTCATGCTGTTTTGAAAGCACATGGATTGAAATGTCAAAATATTGTTTTGACTCTGAGTTTATTTCTTGGCAGTAAGTTAGCTTGTGCAAGTCCTTTGCATTTAACAATATCAAAGCAATCTTCTACATTTCAGTGGGAAGTTGTACTCAGAATTTTTTGTCGGAAAATTTCATCTCAGTCTCTCTTGGGAGAAATGAATTCTGTCAACTTGATTAGTGCTTTTCAACTTAAGATTATGGCCTAATCTTTCATTCTTGTGGGCTTTTCACTGCCTCTTTGTAATCAGCTGTGAGCTTTTATGAAGGAAAACACCACTTAACCCTTTTGCTCCCAAGATCTCATTAGTAATTCTCCTTACTGTTTGTCATACAATTCTTATGATGTTTCTTTGGAGAATTTGGAATCTGATCAACTAATAATTCCCTAATTGATATTTTTTCTTTTTTCTCATCACTTGTCTTCTTGATATTGTATTGGCATTGTAAGGAGAAATTCTCTTTTGGTCACTTGTGAGAGTGAATAGGTTAAATCTCTAATTCTGTTTTGGGTAAAAAAAATGCCCTTGGCTCTGATTGGTCAGCTCATAAACACCAGTTTGTTTTTAGACAATAACAATTATGGGGAAACTTAGACGCATCTGGGTCATGAGTGGCTACAGTTACTTAATCAGCTCTTTTGAAAGCTCTGTAGTTAATAGTTTTTTTCATGTAATCCTCAGGACAAGTAATCCTATCAGTTTCGACAAGCAATTCCGCTGCCATATTTTCGGATGGGCACTCGGGGCAACGCTTATACCACACATATTTAAGAAGGTGAATGATAAAGTCAAGGAAGACTACACACAGGTTGTGGAAACCCATGGAATAGATGTTCAGGGCCCACAATCTCCCCTCAAGAGGTGGCCTGCTGATTTCCATTGGAAGTTTGATTATAAAAACATCAACGGAAATAGAGAGGCCAGCCGTGATGGCAAATCCGATCATTCTCTCCTTAATTACAATGTTTCTAACCATGTGGACTTTGCCAGGCTGTATGTTGGGCAGCATGCAGCAGAGGACATTACCTTCAACGGAGATAGTGATCCAAGGCCCCTGTTGTGTGTGATTGCACATGGTCCTTTCTTCTCTGCCGCTGCACGCAGAGCAGCTAGATACCTTATGGATGCACGGGATGATTGGGCGCACTTTCTTTACAGTAAATGGAATTTGGAAAAGTTTAATAGATGTTTCAAAGAGTTGGAACAACTGGTTGTGGAAATGGACCTGTGTTCTGAAGTTCAAAAGAAGCTTGTTGGTCAAATAGATATGTGGCAAACAATAGGTAATATTTTGTTATGTTTATATATTGACAGAAGATATTGTTTATGTACACCATGTTTCAGAGGTCAAGGAGGGGGTGGTGCATTGTGGACTGTCATGATTTATGGCAGATTGTGGAATTAGTTCTGTGTCTAAATTCTGATGTTTTCACATAACAATCGAGAAATTATAGAGAAATTAAATTTTTCAACACTCATTTACATGTAGTAAATTTGTCATGGCTCAGCTGGGCAGGTTATTGTCTGACATATTGATAGCATTACTCAAAAACTGATAATCCTGTTTAGTGCACTTTCCATCCAGATTTTGGGCTCTAAATAAAGAACTTAATTTTTGGTATATGGAGGCAGACCGATTAGTTCATTTGTATATCATGATACCTTGTGATACCATTTGTTGTGTTTCATTTCATGTGGGGCAAAATGCTGTATAATTGTCGTTTAATGTCAGCATGAGTTGTATGTGTACCGTATACTCCTTATTTACTCAGACTGCCTGGTTCTCTTTGGATTTCTACAGGAACACGTCTCCAGTTTGATTTTGTTAACCCTGCAGATCTACAAACGATTCGCGAGGATATTAAGTCACTTCAACATGGGCTGCAAAAGTTTACTACTGAACAGGAAAACAGAAGTACAACCTCGGAGAGACGCCTGGATGATTTAGAAGGTGCTGTGAATTAGTCTAATAGGACTTATGTATGGTGGCCGAGAACTGCCATTAAAAATATTCAAATTTATAGGAATTATTTTTGTTATTTTTTTTTAATTTCGATTTATTTCTCATTTTTCTTTTTAAAATAAAAACAAGTGAAAGTAAAATGTAAAATAGAAATAAAATTAAACTAAAGATAAATGAAATCAAATCAAATTTAAATACTACCCGGCCGAGCGCTGCCACTAGTTTTTTTTTTTGTTGTTTTTCGCGGTCGGAAAAAAAAATTTGTTCGTGGCCTAACGCTGCCACATGGCCGAGGGCTGCCAAACAAACCCAAAATGCACTATCATCAAAAAGTTCATGAGAAGCAATTTCTGGGTCGAATAATTCATACCCATGTCCTTGTATGTCTAGCTGCATGAGTTTTTTGTCTGACTTTTCATAAGAAAAATGGGTTAGACATTGAGCCTCCTGACCCATAACATCTGTTTCCTCGACCCAACAATCACCAGTATTGTTTAAGTACTTGGTAAACTGTCCATCAATAATCTCCTTCGCAGTCACAAATTCTCCTTTATCATCTTCACAGTAGTAGATCTTTCTATACCTTAGACCACTCCAAATGCATTAATTTATGCGTTGTATCTCCTGCATCACGCTTCTTCCCTCTTTTCGCAGTCACTTTCTCTTTTAAGTTTTCCACGCGGCATTCGCCATACTAGAATCTTGAAAGGCATCCTGCAAAGAATTCTGGGTTTGTTTGGCAGCCCTCGGCCATGTGGCAGCGTTCGACCACGAACATTTTTTTTTTTTTTT